TTCGGTGGAGCTCCCTATGGGGCCACGAAGCGTGTGATGGGTGTGCCGAAATGAATGCGGCGCCGCCATGCGGACGCAGCCACTGGGGCAATCGGTGGAGCTCCCTATGGGGCCACGAAGCGTGTGAGGGGTGTGCCGAAATAGGTGCGGCGCCGCCATGCAACGCAGCCGCTGGGGCCCTCGGTGGAGCTCCTTACGACGCCGCGAAACGTGCGAGGGCTGTGCCGAAAGGGGTGCGGTGCCGCCATGCGAACGCAGCCATTGGGGCCTTCAGTGGGGCTCCCTATGGGGCCACGAAACGCGTGAGGGGTGTGCCGAAATGGGCGCGGTGGGACTGGGGCCTTCGGTGGAGCTCCCTATGGCGCGACGAAGCGTGTGAGGGGTGTGCCGACATGGGTGCGGCGCCGCCATGCGGACGCAGCCACTGGGGCCATCGGTGGAGCTCCCTATGGGGCCACGAAGCGTGTGAGGGGTGTGCCGAAATGAGTGCGGCGCCGCCATGCCAACGCAGCCACTGGGAGCTTCGGTGGAGCTCCCTATGTAGCCACGAAGCGTGTGAGGGGTGTGCCGAAATGAGTGCGGCGCCGCCTGCGAACGCAGCCACTGGGACCTTCGGTAGAGCTCCCTATGGGGCCACGAAACGTGTGAAGGGTGTGCCGAACTGAATGCGGCGCCGCCATGCTAACGCAGCCCCTGAGGCCTTCTGTGGAGCTCCCTATGGGGCCACAAAGCGTGTGAGGGGTGTGCCGAAATGGGTGCGGCGCCGCCGTGCGAACGCAGCCATTTGGGCCTTCGGTGGGGCTCCCCATGGGGCCACGAAGCGTGTGATGGGTGTGCCGAAATGTGTGCGGCGCCGCCATGCGAACGCAGCCATAGGGGCCTTCGGTGGAGCTCCCTACGGGGCCACGAAGCGTGTAAAGGGTGTGCGGACATGAATGCGGCGCCGCCATGCCAACGCAGCCACTGGGACCTTCGGTGGAGCTCCTTATGGGGCCACGAAGCGTGTGGGGTGTGTGCCGAAATGAATGCGGCGCCACCATGCCAACGCAGCCATTGGGGCCTTCGGTGGAACTCCCGATGGGGCCACGAAGCGTGTGAGAGGTGTGCCGACATGAGTGCGGCGCCGCCATGCGAAGGCAGCCACTGGGGCCTTCGGTGGAGCTCCCTATGGGGCACGAAACGTGTGAAAGGTGTGCGAAATGTGTTCGGTGGAGCTCCCTATGGGGAACGTGTGAGGGGTGTGCCGAAATGGCGGCGCCGCCATGCGAACGCAGCCACTGGGGCCTTCGGTGGAGCTCCCTATGGGGCCACGAAACGTGTGAGGGGTGTGCCGAAATGGGTGCGGCGCCGCCATGCCAACGCAGCCACTGGGGCCTTCGGTGGAACTCCCTATGGGGCCACGAAACGTGTGAGGGGTGTGCCGACATGGGTGCGGCGCCGCCATGCGGACGCAGCCACTGGGGCCTTCGGTGGAGCCCCCTTATGGGGCCACGAAACGTGTGATGGGTGTGCCGAAATGGGTGCGGTGCCGCCATGCTGACGCAGCCACTGGCGGCCTTCGGTGGAGCTCCCTGGATGGGGCCACGAAGCGTGTGAGGGGTGTGCCGAAATGGGTGCGGTGCCGCCATGCGGACGCAGCCCCTGGGGCCCTCGGTGGAGCTCCCTATGGGGCCACGAAGCGTGCGAGGGGTGTGCCAATATGAAGGCGGTGCCGCCATGCGGACGCAGCCACTTGGGCCCTCGGTGGAGCTCCCTATGGGGCCACGAAACGTGTGAGGGGTGTGCCGAAATGGGTGCGGTGCCGCCATGCGGACGCAGCCATTGGTGGAGCTGGGGCCACGAAGCGTGTGAGGGGTGTGCCGAAATGGGTGCGGTGCCGCCATGCGGACGCAGCCATTGGGGCCTTCGGTGGAGCTCCCTATGGGGCCACGAAGCGTGTGAGGGGTGTGCCGAAATGGGTGCGGTGCCGCCATGCGGACGCAGCCACTGGGGCCTTCGGTGGAGCTGCCTATGGGGCCACGAAGCGTGTGAGGGGTGTGCCGCAATGGGTGCGGCGCCGCCATGTGGACGCGGCCACTGGGGCCTTCGGTGGAGCTCCCTATGGGGCAACGAAACGTGTGAGGGGTGGGAGGAGGGAGGAGGGAGGAGGCGGAGGAGGAGGAAGGACAGAAGGAGAGGAGACGCGGGGCACCGTCTCTTCAAAACGAGGACCCAACACCACAGGATGGTTGGGAAAAAACATCCCCAAGCTGCACCCTACCAGAGCACGGGGACGTGTCATGCGCGGCAAACGCGTTGCTATTCCCCACCACTTTGCGGCTGTCAGCTGCACTCCGGCCGGGTCTCGGGTTGTCTTTGGTGTCATATTTCCCCCCGCTCTGCGGCTGCGAGCTGCACCCCAGCTGGGCTTCGTCACGTATCAGGCGGCACCACAACCAAGCATCTTGTGGCCGTTTGCTGCACCCCTACCTTCTATGCAGGCTCGGCCCGTACCCCCCAGGCTGCGCGTCTCAGGCGAAACTATATCCCCCTTCCTGCGGCTGCTAGCTGCACCCTACCAGAGGACGTATATGTCTCAGGCGTTGCTGCAATCATCCAACGTTCTGCGGCTGTTAGCTGCATTCTGGCTCAGGTTGCCCCAGGTGGCACCGTCTCCCTTCACTCTGCTGCTGCCAACTTCACCCCGTTGTCGTCGGCGGTCCATCTCAGGCGTAACATGCATCAGTCGAAGATAACCATTTCCCACCTTCCTGCGGCTGTTAGCTGCACCCTACCAGAGAACTTTGATGTCTCAGGCGAGGCATTCGCGGTGCCTTCCCCCATCTCACAGCAGCTGTTTGCTGCTCTCCGGCCTAGTTTCGGGATGTCTCAGGTGTAATATGTTCCCCCCTCGCTCTGCGGTTGTTAGCTGCACCCCTGCTTGGCGTTGTCATTGCCTCAGGCGGGATCACCTCCCCGCATCCTGCGGTTGTTACCTGCGGCCCCCCATCTTGGCAGGCGCGGCCAGTTCCCCCCAGGCTGCACGTCACAGGCGAAACAATTTCTCACCTTCCTGCGGCTGTTAGCTGCACCTCGCCAGAGGGAACCAAAGCAATCTAGGCTGCATGTCTCTGCGCCTTGCTGTGAGGTTGCATGTCCTAGGCGAAGCAATCCTCCAACGTTCTGCGGCTGCTAGCTGCACTCCGGCTCAGGTTGACTCTGGTGGCACCGTTCCGTTCACTTTGCTGCTGCTTGCTCCCCCCCGATGGACGCCGGGCCACCTCAGGTGAACCTTTTCTGCTAGCGCGACTGCTAGCTAGGCTGTCCCTGGAGATGGCCTGGGGCTCTGCATTCCGTCCTTCAGCAATCGCGCGTTCGTGCTTCCACTTGCTCCTGCCGCCGTTGGTCCCTCCCCGGTTCTGTGGTATCCGCGCTTTTACGTGGCATCGGCATCCGACTGGATTGGATTCAAGCCCTCCGCTGCAAGTACAGGGAGTGCGGCAAGGCGTGGGCGGTCCTTTACTTGTTCCACGTCTGAGTCGCGGCTGTTATGTTTCATATCCGCCTCCTCTGTTCTTGTCTCTCGTCGCCGCCTCTCTTCCTCTCTTTCTTCGTTGTCTTCTGTTGTCTTCGTTCGCTCCCGCCTCCCCCGCGTTTGTTTTCGTCCCCTGTTGTGGCCTTCTTTCCCGGCATCTAGCCGGCGACAGTTGCGCCGCGTTTCCGATGCTCGCTTGCTGTTTGACCCTTCTGACGCCGCGCGGTTGCCCGCCTGCGGTCGCGATCAAAAGGCGTACCCCCGCCAACATTTGCCCGCTGCTCGACTCATCTGCCGTCTTTCTCATTTCGTTGCGCCCTTCTCCTTCTGTGCGCTAATGAGGCCGTTGCGCTGACGTTTCGTTCTGACGGCGCCGGGCGTCTTCCAGTGCGCTTGCGATCAAACGGTACCCCCACCGACCCATCCATACGCGATCCAAGGTTTTTTGGGGCCTCTTGGAGGCGATCGCGAACCATGATCGAATAGAGGCGGCCGGGTTCTTCTGAGTTATGCTCAGCTATGCTGGGCCGTTTTGTCGTTGTTTCGAAGCATATTGGAAGTCTTTCGGGGGCTAGATTGAACCATGCACGACCTTATGGGGCCATCTTGGGGGCAAGGGGGACGAATAGGAGGAGGCGGATGAGGGGGAAAGGAGGAAGTGAAAGAGCAGCAGGATGAGAAGGAACAGGAGGAAAAGGAACAGGAGTGGGAGCAGGAGCATGAGCAGGATTATATGAGGAGGAGGAAGGGGAAAACATGGAGGAGGAAGACGAGGGGGAAGGGGACTGCAACACGAGGGATATGAGGAGGAGGGGGATGAGGAGGAGGAGGAGGAATGAGGGAGGGGCAAAACAGGAGGGGGGAAGAAACGGACGATGACGGTATGGGATGAGGAGGGAACAGGAGAAGGAGGAGGAGGAGGAGGAGGAGGAGGAGGAGGAGAAAGAGGAAGAGGATGGGAAGTCGGGCGCTGGAGGTATGTCGTTATGAGAGGTTCCTGAAGGACGACGAGGGCCATCTGAGGGGTTCTTTTTGGCCCCCCTATGGGGCCTCTTGGGGCACTTTTGCTGCCCTCTTTGGGGTCATTGTGGGGGTTGGGGGGCCCTTTGTGGGGTTCCTTGCAGGAGGACTAGGAGGCCTGTTGAGGCCATCTTGGCACCCATGGATAAAAAGAGGGGGGGGAATTGAGCCCCCCCCCCAGGGGAGGCTCAAACATTGCGTTGTGGGGCCTTCGCAGGGGGCTCTTGGGCGCTCTTGGAGCCTCTTGGGGCCGTGGCCCTTTGGCGGGCTGCGGTTTGGGTGGCCTTCGGGCCGCGTCGCCCTGTCGGACCCCTGGGGGGACTGGCACCCGCCCTGGGGCTGGGGCGGCGAGCGCGGCGGACAAATTGTTGCGATATCGTCGGCCCCTCGGTCCTTCAGTGTCCTCATATCCCCCTCCCCCTGTTTGTTCCTCCTTTCCCGCAGTGGCTTTCGCTCCCCCCCCCAGGCTGGAGGAGGAGAAGCGGTCGCTGCAGACCGAGGCGCGAGATGCCCAGGCTGAGCCGCGGAGGAGCAGGAGGGAGGGAGGATGGAGTGGATGGGGCGGGGGAGAGGGGAGGGAGGGAGGGGGAGGAGGATGGACGGAGCAAGAGCTAGGAAGGAGACGGAGCAGGGGACAGAGGCGGAAGGAGGAGGAGGAGGAGGAGGAGGAGGAAAAAGAGTCCAGGAGGAGGAGGAGGAGAGGTGTGGAGGAGGAAAAGGGATGGACATGCTGTTTGACCCTTTGTGGTCTGATTGGCGGTGCCCTGGCCGAGTGCCCCCTTCGGGTGCCGAGGCGACCGTCATTGTGTCCGTCGAAGTCGACTCACAGGTTGTTGCAGGGGAGCTTTTGGAGATCGATGCCGTCGCTCCTCCTCACGCCCAGGACTCCAAGAAAGATTAGGGACCCTCGAACCTCCCCAGGATCGCCCAGGAGCCCCCATGGGTCTCCCCAGGGTCTCCAGGGCCTCCTGTCAGAGAGCACCAACTATGGCCCTAAAGGCGTATGCTCCGATCCTGGGCCCAGGTTGGGCCTCGCCAGGACAGGTGTCGGCGTAAAGTTGGCGTCATCCGACAGGGGGCCTTCGGAGGCCCCGCTGGCACACCAGGGCCCTGTGGGCAACACCGAGCCATCTCAGTGGCCGCGGCTTGCGGCGCAGGGCGCGGCGCCGGGTGGATTGCGAGAGCGCCCTTCGCCGCCACCCTTGCTGTCGCCGTCGTCGACGCCGCCCGCGTTGCCGCCGCCGCCGCTCTTGCCGTCGACGCAGCCGGCCGAGGCGGAGCACGACCGGCTGCGCGAGCAGCGCGATGAGCTGGCACGGAGGCTGCGGGGCGTGGAGGAGGCGCGGGTTGAACGAAACGTAGACTTTCTTGGATCTCCTCGCATCGCGAAGACACATTATTTAAGAAGGTGTTTGGTAGTTTTCGGCCTCTGGAGTCCTTGGCCGGGCCCCAAGATTGTCAAAAGCCCATTCAGGGTTCCGGATGAAAGACCTGTCCCTTGTGAAGGATATCAGATTTCTTGGGAATCACGTTGTGAGAAAATTTCGACGTCAGATGCCTGGGTCCGTCGGCTCACAAACATCTGTCTAGCTAATTAGCGTATGTCTCTGGAGTCGGGCATTGGACCCCATGGGGCTTGTGATCCCAAGCAGTTCTCTGGTGGTCCTGCAGATCCATCGGAGAACTGCTCGGGATAAACAAGCGGCCCTGGGGCAAGAGGAATCCAGGCTCCCAAGTTTCGAAGGAAGTAGAGGCGCCAGACGTCTGACGCTTCGATTTGCGCGATGTGTTTGCCCCTGGACCCCTCGCCCCCTTCCACAGCACTAGTTTTTCATCCCGATTCCCGATTCCCCATACTAGGCTCCAGAGGTGACAAGATATATCAATTGGCCGCCTCGATTTTTGTACGAGGATGTCTGCGTGCATGCAGCCGGCTCCTCCCCCCAACACCTCCCACCTTCCTCGTCTCTCCCCGACAGGCGCGGCGGAAGGCGGAGGGCGACAGGCAGTCCATGCAGCAGGACGCGGATCGCGCCGCCGCCGTCGTCGTCGTTGTTCCTGTAACAATCGCTTTCGTTTCGTTACGATTTGGTGCATCTTTCGTTTTTATGGTCGTCGTCGTCCTGTTTCTCGTTCTCGTCGTCGTCGTCGTTGAACGATATTGTCTTAGGTCCCCACGGGCACAGCAACCATGCCGAAGTTAGGGGGTGCAACATGTACGTACACATACGCAGGCGATGCCATCGTCTCTGGGCGGTCAAGCTAAAGCACCACGGATTCCTGATCGCGATCGTGCCCGATTCGAGGACACCACAGCTGCAGTTCGGGAGTACTGTGCCCGCTGGCATCGGGGGCTGCTTCTCTTGCACCGCGAATCCTCAAGGAAACGGCGTACTCCCTTCGTTCATTTCCGATACGACAATTTGTCACGTCATAAGGGGGTCGGAGGGAGGGAAGAACCAACCTTAATTCAGTCGATATAATCATCGATCTTATACTCGATCTCGCTATCGACCGCACGATCGATCTCACTAACGGTGTCACTCTCGTTCGCACTATCAATCCCACTATCGAACCCACCATCGACACCACCATCGATCTCACGATCGGTCTCATTATATTTCTCACGATCGGCCTCACTGCCGAGCTCACTATCAATCTCAGCCGATCGATCGCATTATCGATCTCACTATCGATCTCAGTCGGTCACGATCGATCTGAGCATCGATTCAATTTTTCCCCACATCCAAAGTGGGGTTCTTGTTTTCTCTGGACACCCCGCGCAGGAACAGGAACACACACACACACACCCACTCACACTCACTCGCACTCTCTCATCATCAACCTCATCAGCATCATCGATGATGCTCTCTCACATGCTTAGTCACTCACATACTCATCATCATCATCACTCGCACTCTCTCACACGCTCACGAACATCATCATCATCATCATCGGCATCGGCATCATCCTCATTCAAACATCATCATCGCCACCACCACTCACAATCAATCATCATCCTCTTCACCACTCATCTTCACCACCACTCATCATCCTCATCCTCATCATCGTTGAGTAAATTGTGAGGAAGTCTCAGGCGGGAGCCCCCTCCCTATGGGGCCCGCAGATCATGTTGGTAATCCGAGCGGGTCATCGGAACCCTGTAACTGTCGTCACTTTTGGGCTCGTCAAGCCTGAATTTGGAGGAAGTCTCAGGCGGGAGCCTCGTCTCTGAGTGAATTGTGAGGAAGTCTCAGGCGGGAGCCCCCTCCCTATGGGGCCCGCAGATCATGTTGGTAATCCGAGCGGGTCATCGGAACCCTGTAACTGTCGTCACTTTTGGGCTCCTCAAGCCTGAATATGGAGGAAGTCTCAGGCGGGAGCCTCGTCGGTGAGTGAACTGCGAGGAAGTCTCAGGCGGGAGCTCCCTCCCTATGGGGCCCGCAGATCATGTTGGTAATCCGAGCGGGTCATCCAAAACTTGTAACTGTCGTCAATTTTGGGTTCTCGCGCTGCCAGAACGCAGCTCCCAGGCCACATTTTGGACGCAACAAGGAGGAGATAAGCATGGTGGCAGCCGCGCTGTACAACGCGCTGGACCTTCGCGCCTGCCACGGACGCAGTGACACGCACGACGTGCAGGAGTCGAACTACCAGCGGCCACACCACCACTTCGGGCGCGTGCCCATCGTGTTGCACCTCGGCGATTTCCTGCAGCTGAAGCCCACCGGCAGCATTGGCCTCCTGACGGACGTGAACGAGCGCCTGGACGACGACGAGTCGTACAGGTACGCGGACCCGCCGACGGTGGAGATCCAGCACGCCATCAAGGTCTTCTCTCAGATCCACTGCGTCTTCGAGCTGAAGGGCACGAAGCGCTTCGAGCCCGGGGACCCTCTGATCACGTTCCCGGGCTGCACGCGCGAGGGCAAGCCCTTCCCACCTGAGGTCTGGTCCGCCTGGGAGAAGACGTTGGCCACGGACAACCAGGGCGTCCTGGACCCTCGGCACCAGCGCGAGAACTTTCGGCTCGGCTACGGCATGGGCATATACTGGGAGACGCTGGCGAGGTGGATCAACACGCGCGCTCGTCGCGACGCTCGGCGTCTGGGCGTGCCCCTTGTTTTCCTGCAGGCCGTTGACGAGTGCGGCGCGATTCAGGGCGAGCCCGACGCGGGTCGGCGCCTCCTGAACGTCCCGAACATGCACAAGACGGGGGACATCCACGGCGTTTTGCCGGCCCACGTCGGCATGGAGGTGCGGTTCACGGCAGCGCAGGAGGAGCTGAAGAAGAAGTTGGGGCTCGTGCAGGAGCAGCGGGCCACCATCGTGTCCTTCGAGTTCCACCACGAGGACGAGCAGCGCTACGAGGAGTGCTCGGCAGGCCAGCTCTTTCGCCCCCGCTTCCTACCGCAGGGAATCTGGCTGCAGGTGCACGGCTTCAAGGAGTCTCCGATCTACCAGGAGGTCGCCGAGGTGCTGCGACAGGGCGCCGAAGGCGCCGACGACGACGGCCAGGCCGAGGCGCGGGCGCGGAGCTTGCTGATGTTCAGGCCTAGCGAAAGGGAGTTCACATGGCAGAGCTCGGGGGCGCACAGCGTGCGCCGCTCGGGGTTCACCCTGACGCACGCGCCCTACCTGACCTCCACGCTGTCGCAGGGCCAGACGCTGCGCAAGGGCGTCGCCATCGACTGCGCGAGAGACGAGGACGCTGGCCGCACGGGCATGTCGGACGAGCAGTGGTGGCTGCACCTCTACGTCATGTTCTCCCGCGCCACGTGCATGCGGAACATGCTGATCCTGCGGCCGCCGCCGCGAGAGTTCCTGGAGTGCGGGCCGCCGGCGTCCCTGCGGAAGGCGCTCCTGGAGTTCGACAAGAGAGCGGTTTTGTCCAGGGCGGAGGCGAAGCAGCTCGCGGCAGAGCTGGGCTTCGTGCTGCCTTCCGCCTGAGCGCGGCTGCGCCTCGCTCGAAGCCCGCGGGGTTGTCCCAACGGCGTGGTCTTGCGCGCCAACGGCTCGCGGGGTTGCCCCGACAGCCTGGCCCGCGGGGTCGCCCCAACGGCTGCGCGACGTGACCAGTAGAGAACGCGCCTGTGCTGGCCGTGGCGGCGACGGCGCCGAGGAACATCGACATGCGCGGTCATGCAACAGGAAGGGGGGGAGGTGACGGGGCGCGGAACAAACAGGGGGGCGAGGATGGGGACAACGTAAGGAGTGGAAGGGGGGCCCGTGCCAAGGCGAGAGGAAATATACGCAGAAGAGACAGCCAGGACGCCTCACCAACCACGAGGACGACGGTGATGGCTTTTTCCAGATTCGCCCAGAGGATTCTTATGTGGGGTTCCTCCGTCGGAGTAATTATCATCGCAGTCGATCCCCCGATCGATCTCCCCATCGATTTCACGATCGATCTCATTACGGAACACCGACGGGACATCACGACGGGATATCACGGAGGGACACCCCCGGCCAGCTAATCGGAGGGGTGGTTTGATGTCTTGACGCACAGCGGGGTCATCCCTTTCGCCAGCCCACGCAGCTTCGCCTAGCCCGTACTCGTGATACGAACCCGAAACCGAAACCGATTCCCGTGTGTGGGGCATTCGATCCCACTTCGATCTTACCCCGCGGACCTCCGATCAAGAGCGTTGCGAGGGAAGCGGAAACCTTGCTCGTCGTGCAGTTGTGCTCGCCGCTTGCGTTTTTGCAATCCACGTCGCCTTGGCCGTGGCTGATCCTATCCGTTTTGGGGGGCGAAAACAACCATGCAACTTTTTATCAAGCATCATATGAAGAACACGTGGGATGTCGCGGGGAAGAGGACCGCAGACGACAGAGGAACACGGGTCGAGCGGCTCTGAGAATTTGTTATGTCGTTGACGCACGGGCGACAACAATGGCGCGGAGGCGTGGAAACCGAATTCTTCCTTCGCTGATTTCCTGGATTTTGAAGCGTTGGGACTGTGGACAATCACAAAGGCGCCAGTTTGGTGTGCTTCGCATGCGTTTGCGGAACGCTCCCACGGAGGACGATCTCGCGCACTTCGACTGTTAGTCGCAATCGCTTCCGCGCCATACTTCCGAAGAGGACAATAGGAAGGCATGTGAAGCTCGCGATGTGGCGAGTTGCCATGATTGCTGCGGGCTCAGGGCAGGGGGCGAACTTCGGGAAATGATTAGCGCGGCCAATGCGCGGGCATGCGCGCCCCAAACAGCCGCAATCCGATACGCGGCCATTCGATCGGGTCACGGCCGTGGACGCGATGCAGTCTCTAATGGGGCAAAGGCAGACGCTTCGAATCCGACGCGCGCGCTGCAGAAATGTCGGCAGTCATTGTTGTTCGGTCGAGGGGGGGGGGGGGGCGCCCATGCAACGACCGCAGATGCCCACGGCGTTTTTTCGGTAAGAAGCGGCCGATCCGGGGGCCGATTGCGACCGCGCGCGCGCTTTGAACGCGCGGCAACGTCGCTGCGGAAGTTTAAGCCGCGCTGGGAGATCGTGCCAGGCGACTAGTTCGAGACGAAGGAAGGCGGCTATCTTGGCGAAGTTCGCAAGATGGGCGAGGACGGGGTGAAAAGGAAAACAGAGAACAGATGCCCGTCACCCAGCTGCGAGAGCCTGTCCCTTGGGGCGCACGGAACGCCTGGGCGGGCCTGGATGAAAGCACCATTGCAGCAACGTGGAGGATGATGGCGGCGCCGTCTCGCCGATTCTGGCATCCTCCAGGCGTAGTCCCACCAGCGTTCTTGCTAGCAGTTTCTTTGAACTCGCTTGACCATCCCAAGACCGGTCGCCCTTGTCTGCGGCGAGCCTCGGTGCGAAACCGCGGATCCCCCGTGAGTAGTGCGTTGCTCCTCTCGCTGTTATGGCGCGCGTATAGATTTGTGAAGGCCCGTTGGTTTCTTTGCGTTTGCGTCAGAAGCCAGTCTGCGGCCCCCCAACCTAGCAGCGCGAAAGCAGACCGACCGTGTAGATCGTTGCAATTACTGCACCCATGACTCTGAAGCTGTCCTGGGTACT